CTGTTCGAGTCAAGCAAGGTAATCAGCAAATTACCGCCAAACCTTACAGCTTTTGTCGAGTTCCTTCCGGCATTGACGCAAGCCCAGCGATTTAAAATCAATCGCTGCTGAAGCTTATCGAACAATCACAATCGGACATTGCATCAGAGCTATCCAATTCTCTCTACGTGGACCACGTACTCCTCGAAGGCAGAACCTCCGAGGAATTAACAAAGAAATACAGAGGTGAAACGACTATTCTCTTCCATCGTGATGAACGTGCGAGACTATCACATTCTGCCACCGTCAACAAGAACATTGCCGAATGGTCTTGTCTGAATAGGATCAGAACACTTGGAAATCCATCACATCGAATGTGATTGGGTTTGAAGTAAACCTGCCTAGGATATTTGCGGAGAAGAATGGGACTACCTGTCATACACGATGTCAATATTTGTGCACAGCTCCAAGAGGGCGTACGCTTACAGTATCTACGTAACAACAACGTCTTGCGAAGGCATCAAAAACACAAAACTTTTCACCGCAAAGTCAAAAGTGGCGCCGATAAAGAAGGAACAGGCAATACCTCGTCTAGAGCTTCTATCTATATTCTTGGGACTCAGTCCAGCAGAGTTCATCATGAATAAGGTAGACATCAAGGTTGAAGAATCAAACTCTTCAGTGACTCAACCATTGCCGTGTGTTGGATACAAGGATATAAACGTCTACCAACTATGGTAACCACCCTCGTCCAGAAAATCGGACTCATCACAAAAAGAAGACGTGATACTAGCAATGTCACATCCTACCATGTGCCAACACATTAGAACGCACCGACTGCCCAACCAGAGGAGTGGCCAAAAATGAGTTAAAATGCCACCGGTATGAAGGTGTGGTATAGCCTCGGCCAAGATGGTACAGCTCTTTATTCAGTCAACGTTTCGGCGTTATCGCCTTCGTCAGGACCTGGAAGCCAAGAAGAATTTGAGATTCATTCAATTCACACACCATTTCAGACTTCAGTTAGCTCAAGTATAAGCTACAGATATCTAAACAGGTCTCGTAAACCACAACAAGGAAACCCACCTTAGAAATAGGGAAGACGACATGTAGACCTCCTTTCAAACTGCCTATTAAACGTTTTCGCAATGGGTGGGCCCCGGGTGACCTGACCCCCGACTTGAAACCGGTGGCAATTGTAGCCCACACAAGTCGATGAACGGGGCGAGTTCCCTTGTTATGGCCAAGCATTCGTCTTTCCGGTTGATTTTGGGGTTTTTTGCGCACGACCAGGACGCTTCCAAAGTTTTGCGCGCGGAGGCCGCGGGCTCCCGCATCAAAATCGTGACTGAGACTTCAAACTCTACCCCTCCGTGGCGTTGCTTACAATGGTCTCCGAGGGAAGTTTCAGGCCTTGATTTCTTCAGACCAGCTAGGTTTTCCTTGCTCCTACATATCAAAGGCCGCCCGGTCTCACCTATGCATTCGTTCTCTCAGGCCTCACTCACAAGTGATCAAATAGATCACCCCTGACGCCATGCAATCCTCCTCTCGCCCGTTGGGACAGATAACACAATGGGGGGTTATGCAGAGACGGTCATACAAACGATTTTGAATCAGCTTTTTCCTGAGATCAGTAGGAGGAACCTAGACCACCCGCAAGGCTACACTTGCGCAGAGCCGTTCTTACGTCAGAACTGACGGAGTCTGGTACGAAGGGAAGGCCAAAAGTCACCTCCTCCGAACTTTCGTCAGTATGTTCACGTGGTCTGCTACGGAGAGTCTGCGAAGGCATTGCTCCTTCAAAGGATACCCATTAGTGATGGCCACCTCCTGAACGAGCTCCGCCGATCCTGTCACCTCGCGATCCCCTAATGAAACTATTTTCGCTGTCCTAAACATGTTACCTGTGATGGCCTGCTTGGTTTTGAGAAGATGCGCCGACCTAAAGTGGACCAGGATTCAAAAACCAAAGTGGATTCTTGCTGGCGGGTTTCCTATACCATTTGGTCCTGAGAAACCCTGGCTCAGGCTGAACTTGCATGTTGAGGAAAGGCAGCCATGTGTCTTTGGGCTTTTCTCGTGTGAATCTAATATTTTCAGCTTGGGTGTTCAGCAGCTCGAAAAATGTGTTCATTCCCTTTTGAGTTAAACAGGCGACAAAGCAGGCGTCTACATAACGGCAATAGAGCACAGCTCGGCGATCCAAAACGGGCCTTGCTACTTTTGACATGTAGACAATGGCTAGCACTGGTGCCAGCCGCTGGCCCATGGCTAATCCCCTGACTTGCCTGAAGTACTGACCCGACCGTCTGAATATAATATAGAGCAGTCAAGGCATTCCTTGACCAAAGTCATAACGTGGAAGACAGATAGGCGATACATATTTATCGACCCCGCATTTTCATTCAAGAGCTCGTGGGTGGCCTGCATGGCGTCCCCGTTCGACACGTTTGTGTAANGAGAGGTCATATCAAATGATTCTATGACGCGATTTCTCCTGAAGCGAGTCTCCCGCAGTTGGTCGAGGAACCTCCTGGTGTTACTGAGGTGGGCGGAGATAAATGTTAATAACTGCGTCAACACGAGGTTCAGCAGCCATGATATGCGATCGGTAGGGCCTCCCACGTTGCTTATGATGGGGCGAACTTTGAAGTCCGAGGGGTCGAGGGACAACGGGTGTTGGGAGAAAGTTTATGCGTTTTTATAAGGACATAGAGAACTGGGCACACCGGGAGGTCACACTTTAAACGTGTGATCAGTGATTTAGGTAAGTCTGCTCTATGTGTCATGTCCAAACAAACCCTGTTTAAACGGCGGTACTTCCTTTTGTATTCCCCCTCTGATGATTGCTTGTAGAGGGTCCCATTCCCCAGATGGGCCTTTGTGATCGCAGGGTCCAGATTTCGCGGCATGACCACGAATTTGTCCCCCTTATCGCTTACCGAAATCTTGATGCTTTTGGAGTTAAAATGTCACCGTTGGTCGTCTGGTCCAATATGGTTGAATACCCCAACTGATAGGTGGTCTGCCAAGGACGCAACCAATCTACGAGAACAAACCATCGAAAATGACGTCGAAAATTGGGCATACACCTCCGCGTCCACGAAGGAAGTCAGACACAGAATATGGACCCTAGAACAAACCAGCAATCTCTAAAAGTTGCTACGAGTCACCCCTTACTGTGATCGTTTCATCCGTAGCGCGGCCAAAATTTTTGCCTTAAAGATAAGATAACTGACGACAGCTACAACCTCAGCTGAAGAGATCACATTTGCCGAGAAACTCCCCATGGTGCAGCACGCCCCTTTGCCTCTGCGCGGCCGCGTTTTCGTCCAAAATCATCCTAGAATTCGGATAAAGTTCGAACAGCCCATACTTTGCGATTCGCTCAAACAACCGCTCTGTGTGGCTGTGTGCTGCACACGGTGAACCGGGTGTGTGTACATTCGTGCGATTCAGGCTGCGCGCGGCAAAATTCGTAGTGGTTTAAACGACTCTGGAGGCTATTATTGGGACCCAAATCTCAAGCAGAGCAGATTAATAGGCTGCTGACCATACTAATCTACTCTACTTAAAGTTTGTGCCCCAATAATAGGTGCCAGAGTCGTTTAAAATATCACGGATTTCGCCGCTCAATTTGCCACGCGCAGCTCGAATCGCACGAATGTACCGTCCCCCAGTGAACCACGTCGTCGCTTCGATTATGAAGAAAACCCGAGCACATGTGGCAGCTAGCGCAAAACACTGCGGTACGCAATGGTTAATTGCAATCCAGCAGTGCTCTTTTGTACGAGAGACGTCAACATTGCCACAGAATCTTAGTTGGATTCTCGTCAGCAAAACGTACCTACGATGGATTTTGTTCATCACTGCACTCAGCTTCGCTTTTCTCAGGACGTTTCCTTGGGCACAGAAACGAAAACCCTGTACGCCACTCGGCTCTTACAGTAATCCAACCCCATGTTAATAACCAGATTTCCACCCGTCACATATACGACGCGTCGGAAATGGACCTCGCCAAGGGGTAACTGTAATGGCCGAGTGCCCGCACTAAATCCTCGTTTCTGTTCCTTTGACGAACGATACAAAGCAGAAGGCATCAAGAAGCATCTTCCGCAGTCTGCGCACGGCTGCGCAGCAGTCTTTGTTTTCAGCCTTTGCATTTCTCAAGCACAGTCTGCGCGCCTTTCCCAAATATGCGTCACACGACCCTCAACCTAATTCTAATACCGTCTCGTGTCCTTGCCCGAAGCCCCTCTTCCATGCGTCGTATATGGCGCGGGTGGAAATTTGTGCAGTCCGATAAGTTTATGCCGTAAAATGAAATATATTGTAAACAGAAATTCTGCAGATTTCGGAGCATGCTATTTGATGCATTCCGCTCTGTACCGTCACACGTTTCGTTGTTCTTTCCTCGTACCAATTACAAACATTTGTGCAGCTTGTGATTTTAAAAGATTCCCAGAATGATTGAAATTTTCGGTTCTCACCACATTTCTTCTCAGCAGCACTTATTGGAATGGCGCCCATGAGGCGGGGATCCAGAATAAGGCAATATGTGGGTGAGTGGTTTGAGTCTATTTTTTCCAGCTCATACAGGTTATTTTTGGGTGAGCCTCTCTTATGTAAGAAAATTACTTCTATATCTCATCGATAATAAGAATAAGCGACTGAACGTTCAAACAAAAAAAGGGTGCGGTTCCTGAGAGCAGAGTAAAGTCTATGTCATTGAGTGGTCAAACAAGAAAATTTTGAATTCGAATTCAACTTCAGTTTTTGAAATCGATTTGGAGTGGCGCTCATTTAAATGCATACAGTCCCGCAGATGAGTTCTGAGGCTTTATGTGGGTCAATTTGTGCTCATTCTTGTATTTATCCTCAAACTATATTTCGATGTGTGGGTACATTCTACTTTTTGATTAAACACCGCACGGAGATAGTTATGGGATATTCTGAGTCGCTTTGCACTTCAAACAAATCTTTTTTTAGTAGGTGTGAAAACTACATGGTCATTATGCTGCCCGCATATCGATATGCCACTTCATTGACTGAAGAGAATGACAACAGTGACGAAGAGAATGCATATTAAATAATTTGTTAGAGAAAAAAAGAAAGTAAAACTTCTGTAGAAAATCAAGTTTTTTTAGGAGAGAGAAATTTCCCTGTAACTGACTGGGATTCTCAATTTTGGGCAAAATGAAAAAAAAATTTAGTAAAATTTAGTTTGATATCTTTGAAAATGAGCTGATGCTTCGCTTTTCCACAATTCACGTTTCATCCGTGCACAAAATATAGTTCTTTATTGGCAATATTCAGTTTCCTGTCGAATCATAAACTTTTTCAGAATGCTTCTTTTTTATTGCTGTTATCCCCTTCAATTATTTATCTTTTACTCGCTTGGTAAAGCTATGCAGACAGCTCATAGACCATGACGTCTTCACGTTCAATTGAGATTAGCTCATGCTCAGATTTGAAGTCATCTCAATCGTATAGAAGTTCGCACATCCCCCGGAGATAAGAGCCCCAGCACTAAATAGCGTACGTTACGTTACTAAAAGTTTCTTTATTCGTGAAGTAACGATCTCTTCAAAGGTTTTCACGTCTGTACGCAGGGGTCGCGATACTGTTACCATTTCTTTTAGACGACTTCGCTATAGATCGAAGTTGCTACTCAACGATTACTGAATAGCAACAATTGATCTTTTGGTAGACGTCACATCCGGCTCTCTACTCCGGGCTGCGCGATAACACAGGCTACTATCCTCCGCACTCATCGAGGAGGATATTACATCTGTTATCATGCAACCCGAATCTTTCTTCTCCTTTACATGCTTCATATTTTATAATATTATCTCTAAATGCTGTATACATGTGGTAGATGGGATGTGAGACTTACCTCGAAAACGGTATTTATCAATGTCAAAGACTATTTTTTATCCTTTATATGTGTTTACACATAGAGCAAGTAAAAAACATGCAACATTGTCGGGTATTTTTCGAAACATGCGGTCTAGTTTCAGATGATGCGCGCCTGCGCCTAGTGGAGTTGGTGCGGAAGGAAGAGTGTCTCTGGGATCAAAGGAATGAAGCATATAAAGTGCAAGGCCGAAGAGATGACGCATGGAGAAGAATTGTAAATATAATGCGAGGAGAAGGACATAATGTGACCAGTGGGTTTCGATCACTCTTTGACATAACATGAGATAATCTCGTATTTGAAGCTTTAGTGATTGAATTGAAAGCGACATGGAGGAGTTTGCGTGACCACTGGAAGAGGGTGCGAACGAGTAAGGCTGGATCGACGACGACATGGTCTTTTTTTGAAGTGCTCAAATTTTTGGAAATAAACGAACCGACTGACAATGAGTATGCTTCATTTTTTGTGCTTCCTAGCTATGTACAAGGATGGTACCATTATTTTGTATAGGATGACTGCTAGCTACGATGACTCGATGAAGAGCACGTCTCTCACACCACAGGAGCATGAAGAAAAATGTGCACTAGCTAATCAAGGTATTACTATACATATAACATAACACATCCATAGGAGGTGNGACATGGTCTTTTTTTGAAGTGCTCAAATTTTTGGAAATAAACGAACCGACTGACAATGAGTATGCTTCTTTTTTTGTGCTTCCTAGCTATGGTACCATACAAGGATGGTACCATTATTTTGTATAGGATGACTGCTAGCTACGATGACTCGATGAAGAGCACGTCTCTCACACCACAGGAGCATGAAGAAAAATGTGCACTAGCTAATCAAGGTATTACTATACATATAACATAAGTGGCACATCCATAGGAGGTGCGTCTTTACGCAGACTAGTTCATTCTTACGCAAATACATGCGCAAAAGCGCGCTAGACTGCACAAAAACAAACCATTCTGGGTACAAACGCACCTACTATGAATGCGCCCACTATTTTCTTTTTGAGGCGTCAGAACGTCAGCATCTTAACTATGAATGCACCCTTAAGTAAAGGCGCAGCAGTCTGTGCAGAAATTTTATCAGCCTGCTTAGAAACGGGGCAGTCTGCATGAAAGCCCACTATTCTACGTTAAAGGGGACCAGCCCGCGCAAAGGTGCACAGTCTGCGCCGTTGCCAGTCGAACGAGTCAGGTTTTCAAATCCTGTGGTCGTGGGAAGCAGAAACACCTACTGCCCACGGGTATGGTGCAATTCACGCGTCAGCATAATGAGAACATCTCGCATGAAGGCGGGCTTACGGCTGCGCGGTACCGTGGACGAGACGCGCTCATCGTATCGTCATGTTTACAGTCATAATGGGAGAAATAGGAACCTATAAAAGGAAAGTTAAGAATGGTCAGCTACGCACGTTTACTAGAGGATTACGTTCCTTAGGATCGAAACATTTTGAAGCTACTCTTATTTTGAAAATTTGATAAGTAAATGGTTGACCTATGACATGAATCATTTAATTTGACCTACTTCCTTTGAAGACATGGACTAGCACACAACTCATTTGGTCCATCTCTACTGAAGGGTACTGAATCGATCGAATCGGAATACCTACGTAATCTGCCGCGTGTTGCGTCGCGTGCTCCTGCGCGAAGAGCTCTTATGGGGTCACGCGTGAATCGCACTGCCCACCATGCACCTCATGAGCCTCGCTCGAAAAATCTTTTTGTTGCGTCGTGTATTTAAGAGGTGTTTGGGAGCGCTCGAGTGTGTCTTCAGGTTACCGTATAAAACATTCACGAGACTTTAAAACTCGTCTTATGCCAGTCGATAACTCTTGATCGACGGCTCATGCTGCGGGGTGGCAGCATTAGGCGAGTAGGTGCTTTCAGAGTTCAACGACATGCATTGTTTCAACCGACCGACCGACCGACGATCTTGCTGACCACGTGTTGACAACCATTGTCAACACGTGGCCAGCAAGGGCGCCGATTGGTCGGCGGCCAGTGGTTGCTTTCAGACTTCGACGTTCGTCCGTCCGTCCGTCGCGTGCGTGCTGCGACCGCGGTTCTAGATAGGTGTTGACAGCGCCGAATACCGATTGATACCACAAGACAAGGGGATGACTAATTTCATCATCCCGTCTTGCGGTATCGATCGGTATTGAGCGTTGTTAACATCTATCTAGCGCTGTCGTCGCAGCACGCAAGCGACGGACGGACGTCGAAGTCTGAAAGCAGCCAGTGGGTGCGCGCGTGTGCCAGCCGGCGGCGCTAGCCACTTGTTTACAACACTGGTCGCCGATGAATTACGTGCCAGTCAACAAGTAGCTAGCGCGGCCGTCGGCCTGCACATGCGCGCGTGACCGGAAGGCCCACCGGCTAAATCTGAAAGCAGCCAGGCGTTTCAAACAATAAACGTCGTTGAACGCTGAAAGCACCCATTGGGTGACGGAAAGGTTCTGGCTTTGCGATCAGATTAGCTGGTAGCTGATTTTGTTCGATTTTTATTCCTCATCGCATATTCCGTATCAATGACCGTTCTTCTGCGTGCGTAATGTCTTCCATGAGCTTACTGTTTTTGTTACTTATTTTTTCAACTCTCTTATTTGTCGTGGAAATACTGCCCGTAAAGCAAGCGTTAGGGGACCCATCGCAGGTGGCTGTCTATTTTTCCCTGCTTTTATTCTAGCTAGTACTGACGTATGAGTGCATGTTTTTCGGTCTTGTAATATGCACATGTGCCACGGCGGTGTTCGATGCTCGATCTCAACCCCGGGGTCGTAAGTGGGTGCATCACTAAGACGAGGATTCAGTCCGGCACTCGGCTCTTACAATTACCCCCTGGCTTACCCCACCATCCACCCTCGTGTCCTTGCCCAAAGCCCATTTCCACGCCTCGTATATGTGACGGGTAAAAATTTGCGTATTAACACGTGCCGGATTAGGTGCTAAGTGGGTTGGGGGGGGGGGACCACGCGGCGCGGCTGCGGCGCG